ATGGACCAGTGGGGCCCAAGCCCAAATGGCACAGGGGAGAAAACACCTGACAAAAGCATAGTAGAGTTACTAAAGGCAAATAACTGAAACTCAGAAAAAGGCCTGGTAAGAGGAACTAGAACAATCTACCCATCTGGACGAAAAAAAAATATTCGTTTCAATATTCCACTTCCAGGAGAAGGGCGTATTGTATTTCGGCCGAAACATCGTGAATATGACAATAAAGACTTGGGGAATATTCAGAACAATGCAAAATGTGTAAATAGTTAAAATACTTCATCTCAGAATTATATTCATACTGAGGAGCTGCGAATGACATAATATATATATATATATATATATATATATATATATATATATATATATATATATATATAATGGTGAAAATAATTTGTTATATACATCATTTTAACACCGCCTGATGATATGTTACTCTGCATCGAAACATTAATGCATTTTTGTAATGGAAATATGTATGTTAGAATGTAATAACATATAATAAAGAATTATAGCTTTATTTCTGTATTGAGTTTTTTTAAATTAATGGTATGAATGTTTGAATTTATATTAGATTCGTTCTCATTGCATTGGTATATATATATATATATATATATATATAAATATATATATATATATATATATATATATATATATATATATATATATATATGTATGTATGTATGTATATATATGAAGAAATATAGTCTTAAGGTGTGCTATATTTATGGGATAAAGTGCTCAATATCAGAGATAGAGCGTGTAAATATAAAAGTGAACAAAGAAGTCAACATTTAGAGGCGACAGGCTGTTTCATGCTAGACGCAATCGTCAGGCCATATATATATATATATATATATATATATATATATATATAATTGTATATATATAAATATATATATATATATATATATATATATATATATATATATATATATATATATTTATGATTAATTACATATTTCGGTATTAGACATTCCTGTAAACATATTTCGTTAAATTTAATGGATAAGGGTAATTTTATTAAGTTTTAATTTTGTTTTTCCATCTTTCTGACAGTTTTCCGTTTGCTGGGAGTACAAATGCTGTCTATATCGTTCATTGATCCAAGCGCTTTCGGCCATTTTCTTAGGCATTTTTAAGTGGGGGTTAGTAATACAATAAACGGAAAAAATGTAAGAACTCTGGAAAAAACTAAATAAAACATTTTCTAGTGCTCATGAGAAGATAGAAAGACAATATTCGAGCTTATGTCTAGTTTTGTGATAATCCTCAATATGATTAAATGCACGTAGTTTTATTCAAAGGCATCTATTGTATGTAATTCTCTCTGAAACCGTTTTGACAAATAGGAGATGAGCAATAAATTATTTCTCTTTTCTACATTCACTTCTGCTATCTATCTATCTATCTATCTATCTATCTATCTATCTATCCCAGTCTGTTCCTATCTATCTATCTATCTATCTATCTAACTATCTATCTATCTATCTATCCCAGTCTGTTCCTATCTATCTATCTATCTATCTATCTATCTATCTATCTATCTATCCCATCTATTATCTATCTATCTATCTGTTCCTATCTATCTATCTATCTATCTATCTATCTATCTATCTATCCCAGTTTGTTCCTATCTATCTATCTATCTATCTATCTATCTATCTATCTATCTATCCCAGTCTGTTCCTATCCCATCTATCTATCTATCTATCTATCTATCTATCTATCTATCTATCTATCTATATATATATATGTATCGATTTAATTTTCTTCATATCTATCTATTGCAGTATGTTTATTTATTTATCAAAGTATGTTCATATATCTATGTATCTGTCTGTCAGTCTATCTATCTCACCCGTTCATATCTATTTGTCTCTATCTCTCTTGAACTAAGTAACTATATATATATATATATATATATATATATATATATATATATATATATATATATATATATATAATATTAATAAGGGACTCTCCCTAAATTATATATATCGATATTCATTATTTTTTCTTTATTTCTCCATTCTATCTATTAATTATTTAAAATTATTTCTTTCTACAGCCACGCGTGCAATTTAACTGATCTTGCATTATATATATATATATATATATATATATATATATATATATATATATATATATATGTGTGTGTGTGTGTGTGTGTGTGTGTGTGTGTGTGTGTGTATGTATATATATATATATATATATATATATATATATATATATATATATCGTTTTTATTTTCTTCATATCTATTTATTACAGTATGTTTAATATTTTTTTAATTTATTTATCTGTCTACCCCACTTTGGCTAAATATATCTATGTCAGTTCAACAATAAATATCTATCTATCTATCTATCTATCTATCTATCTATCTATCGCGGTCTCTTCATTATGTATCTATCTATCTATCTCAATCTGTTCATGTCTTTCTTTATCTATTTATGTATATCCATGTCTATTTCGTTCAATCTGTCTATCTATCTTTTAATTATTCTAACCCAAACAAGTCAACTAAGCCACTAAGACGCTATATTTACTAGTCGAAAAACATTTCCATACAAACTGAATAACGGATTCTTTTTCATTCTTTTTGATCGCCAAAATAAAAAAAATATCATCGCAACAACTGATGTAAAGATACATAGATATTAATAAAATTAGATAGATAGATAGATAGATAGATAGATAGATAGATAGATAGATAGATAGATAGATAGATAGATAGATAGATGTGAGCTAATTAGGATAGATAGAGGTAGATAGATAGGATAGATAGATAGATAGATAGATAGATAGATAGATAGATAGATAGATAGATTGCTGTGACAACTTAGAATAGATAGATAGGAACAGATTAAGATAGATAGATAGATAGATAGATAGATAGATAGATAGATAGATCTGTCAAATTTAGATAAATAGATAGATCTGTCACATTAGAATAGATAGATAGATAGATAGGAACAAGTGATATATATATATATATATATATATATATATATATATATATATATATATAGAGAGAGAGAGAGAGAGAGAGAGAGAGAGTTTGCAATATCTAGATAGATTAGGAAGCTAGGATTATCTATCGATAAATATAATTGAATTATATTTATGTTGGCATACATCTCCCCGTCCACGTACCTTAATAGAATAGTTTGGCGCATGCGCACTTCTACGCAGGCCTTCATTTTTACAGAAGAACTCTGACAGAAAACCATTGGTGCGAAAATGTAGCCAATCGTTGAGACTTTCCTTTCGATATTCTCGTAACTGAAAGTTGATTTTCTGTCGTTAGGGAGAGAAAAATCTAAAAACAGTCGAGTTGAAAAGAAAGAAAACATTACAAACAATGATTCCGCTACGAAATGTCACTAATCCCGCCGCACGGCGCGCCCCGCCTTACAGTTTCCAAGAGTTATAATCGCCATGAACTGAGGGAACCTATTCGTTTCTATTTCGGTGGACCCCTAATGGGGCGTGTATTTATGACCTGTCATTTTAAGTGCAGAATTGGCAAAGTATAAATAATCAATTGAGGAGGAGAAATTAAATAAAAAGAAAAGGCAAGATAAAAGGAAATAGACAAAGATAGAAAGAAATGCTCGAAAGATTACTGAAGGGAGTCTTAATTAAAAAGGAAATATATATATATATATATATATATATATATATATATATATACGCACATACATGCGTATACATTCACAGACACAAGCATATATATGCATGTATATATATATATATGTGTGTGTGTGTGTGTATGTGTGTGTATATCTATTTGTGTGTATCTATCTATCTATCTATCTATCTATCTATCTATCTATATATATATATATATATATATATATATATATGTATGCAAGTATATATATATATATATATATATATATATATATATATATATATATATATATATATATATATATTATGAAAGGGATTAAGTTCGACAAATATATTTTCTGTTTATACGTAATTTTAATAGATACAACTTATTTTTAGTAAATGTAACTTTTTTTTTTTTTTTTTGTTTTGTTTAAATAGTATTAATTACATTTAGGGGCCTGAATATTCGAGAAATTTCGTGGAAAATGTGTTCTCCGACATGCATCGGAACTGTGTCTTTTACTAACCAAACGCTTCTCTGTAGTTGAGTGGGATAGCACGTCAGATCAATTGACGGTATTTTTTTCTTTTATCGTTATATAACAGTTATAGTTATTTTTTCGTCCGATTTTTGGTTTGAATTTTATAGCCTAATATTTTGGTCATAATGGTTTGTAATTTGTATATTATTTACTTTCTTTATTGATTTTGTTTTTTTATTTATTGATTTTGTTTTTTTATTTTTTATTTATTTATTCTATTTCGTCTGTTCTAACGGGTGTGATTTGGTAATTTGTTTGGGTTCATTTTTTTGGCCTATTTTATTGTCATTTTGTTTATTTATATTTTTTTTATTATTTTATTTTATTTTTTTTCAGTTTTTGATTTTTAATTAACGTAGTAAAAATACTACGTTACTTAAAAATCGAAAACTGAAAAGAGTAAATGAAAATACACAATATGATAAATAAATAATAAAAACAAGTAAAATAAATTAATCTAAATTCATTTAAATAAATAAATAAACTAACAAACCGATGCTGATAAATTAACCGTTAGAAAAAACAAAATCCAAATAAATACATGAATTAATAAACAAATTAAAAACTGCTCCCATCAAAAAAATAGTTAGAATAAACTACAACAATCAACCCCATAATTGAATAAATAGCTTTAATTACCTCCCCAAACCAAAACAAATCTATTAAATAAGCGATAGAAACAAATTTTTACTACGTTAATAAAAACACCGATTAAAATAAAAATAAAAAATAAATCTATAAGATAAGAAATAAAAGTAAAAAAATTAAATAAAAATAAGAAATAAAAATAAATAAAAACAAGCAAAATAATTTAACCCAAATAAATAAATAAAAAAACAACTTCCGTCAAAATAACCGCCAAAATAGTCTACCCACAATGCACCACTGACCCGTATATATAAATAGCCGAGAAAAATAACAGCACTCGTGACCTGGCGATTGCATATAGCATGAAACAGACTGTCGTCTCTAAGTGTTGACTTCTATATTCACTTTTATATTTACACACGCTCTATCTCTGATATTGAGCACTTTATCCCATAAATATAACACACGTTAAGACAATATTTCTTCATATATATATAAATATATATATATTTATATATATATATATATATATATATATATATATATATATATATATATATATATATATATGGACTAAGTCCGACAATTATTTTAATGTATCTTATTATTATACATTATGTATATATACACAAATATTCAAATAAATGCTCTGTTTATAAAGCAGATATGGACGTTCGAGGGAAATCATGCGAAGTTTGTATTTTAAAAGCAGTAAAATCGACATTGCTAACCAGACGTTCCTTCGTAGCTCAACTGGTATAGCACATCAGAATATATGACGGTTCCGTGTAGCATACCGGTTTGATTCCTCTTGGAGGACGCATATATTCCGGGAAATATTTTCTGGGACCTTCTGACTGGTAAATGTTGTCAATAGTGTTTATTATAAACAATGCATTTATTTCATCATTTGTGTATATAAAATAACGTATAACAATATATATATATATATATATATATATATATATATATATATATATATATATATATATATATATGATATATATGGTAAAGAACTCGGATACATTTTAAATGAAATATAGTCTAAAAAACTAATAATGAAAATATTTTAAAGTTGTAATTAAAATTGTAGTTAATTAAAATGAATTCTAAACTAAACTTCTTTTAAATTGTAATTAAATAAATAAAATTTTACTAAAATAGAGAAATGAAGTAGCTATTTTTGCCGTAAAGACAAAAAAAATTTTTACTTAAAAAATATTTAAATATAAAAAAAAAATTTTTAAATCGTAATATAAATATACTTGATATAGAAAAATAATTTTACTGATGGCAAGCAACATTTTACTTCTATTAATTGAAATATAAGCTATAAAAACTAATAATGAAAATATTTTAAAGTTGTAATTAAAACTGTAGTTAATTAAAATGAATTCTAACCTAAACTTCTTTTAATTTGTAATTAAATAAATAAATAAAGTTTACTAAATCGGAGTAATGAAAAATTTTACTTTAGAAATATTTAGATATAAAATTTTAAAAAATCATAATATACTTTAAATATACGAAAAACAAAAAGGCCGTAAGAATTTTAGCCGTTAACAATATAATTTAAAAAAATCTAGACGACAGGCTTTAACGGAAGTTAGATTTCATTGAAAAATGCATCCCTTCCCACGACCCAAACGTAGCAATAACTGATACATTAAATTATAGACATATTGAAAACCCAGCCACCCCTGTCTAGAAAAATAGATTTATCTGTAACTTTGGAACATGAATTTTGTTTTAGCTGTGTATTTAAAACCCAGTAATTTTAAAAAGTTACTCCAAAATTCGCTTGAGGATGAAATGGAACTAATGTCTTTAATTTAAACACAAAATTAAATTCGTGGCTTTTTAGCTTCCATTTTTGAAACATGGTAAGAACTGTAGCGAAAAAAAAACATATTTTAAATCAATTAATATATATATATATATATATATATATATATATATATATATATATATATATATATATATATGGAAGAATATATATAAATTTCTATGTATCAGAACACTGTTAAGCACACGAAAGGATAGAGGAAAATTTTTTTTGTAACTTGTTTCTTTTCTCTAGACGGACTTCATCAGACCAAAATAATGCTTTTTTTAATGAAAATATATGTGTAGAGGCTTGAAACGTAAATATGAAAAAACGCTATCATCAGTTGTGATATTTCACCGGGGGGGGGGTCACCTCGAGTCGAAATAATGGCTAACAAGCTTGTCTCGCTAGACCAATTACGCCTGACTCTTGAGTTCGATCCTCAATGGACGCCTCCTTGTGCCACATCTCAGCTGCGTTTGTAAAATCGCTATAATTATTCATCGGCAGAAACGCAGAAATTTTAAATTTAAGACGTGTCTGGACATGTAGCCTTGCCGATTTCATTCAATTTATATATGCGTTTTTTTTGGGAGTGGGGGGGTTCGTTTTATCACTTTCTTATTATATATTAAACATTGGGATAATAGAAAATCTTCCAAGGAAGGTGAAATGTTGTATGAACCTGGAGGTAACTTTACTGTGGATCCACGACGCTGAATAATAAATTCAAAAGATGAAACTTAAAATGAAAGAAACAAAAACAAATAATAATAATAATAATAATAATAATAATAATAATAATCCTTACTGCATAGGGCCAAAGCTTGCATACTAGAAATTACCAAGCAAACATATTGAAAAGCCCAATATGCAGATTCTTTGGTAAATATCCAGAAACAATTGACCATCTTGTATCAGGTT